GACAGTCATTATTTTTTTCTGTTCATGGGTAGTAAAAACAGAAAACCTTTGTCTTTAATATTTTTCTCTTACCCTTGTATCATTGTCAAATGTAACATTTTTTGCCTCCATCTCTTCTTCTAAATCTATTTCAGTTTTAATCCATTCTTCAATACTGCAAGAATCGGCCTCTTCTTGCTCAGCTGCGTTACATAATTGGACCTCGTCCACGTCAATTTTTTGAAAATCTTTGTCGCTATTAGAGACTAAAAGAAATAATTTATAAGAAAACATTTTACTAACGTAGTAAAAATACTGTAAGTACCTGCGGTCTGTAAATTTTTCAAAAAATCTTGTTTTTGTTTTTGCTTCAAATACGTTTTAGTTTCCACATCCGATTCTGAATCCGAAGACGCTTTGTTGTTGTTTTTAACAATATTACTTTCTCGTAGAAAAGACATGTCATTGTAAAATTTCCATTGCGGCTTTATGCCATATATAATTTCGCGCTTCAAATTGTAACGGTATTGGTGTAGCAAGTTTGCCCAATTCTTCTGAACATCATCTGTAGGAGAAATTAAGAATTGTTTTTTTTTCACATACATACATACATAGATAGCGAGGGCGAAACAAACAACACATCCTGTAATTTCGAAGCACCATAGCTTATGCTTTTCTCTGCCCGCTATTTTTCTTAGTTTTACTTTCAAGATGCCGTCCTCAACGGAACAACTCAAAATTCTCGCCTCGATCACGTACACATATGTATTTATAATACCTGCAGTAATATCTTCCCAGCTTTTTTTTTGACTAAATCCCGAAGAAAATTGGAAAAAGTGGGTCACGTAGTATGGGTACGTTCCCCTATCTGTGATCAGTTGTTTGACTTGACTTTCAAGTTGTCTCACGACTTGAAAGGAAAAATATATATCAAGTCGACGTTCAAGTTTTGTAAGTGCGAGTGTGTTAAGAAAAAGTGTGAGTGTATTGCAACTTGCCTTTAAGTTATTGCAACCGAACCGGTTTTTAACCGAATCGTCGCTTTCTCCGGGCTTCGAATCAAACCACGAACCGAACTATTTTTATTTTGAAATACTAAAACCAAACCAAAACCCACTCCCAAAAAATCGTTCGGTTCGGTTCAAAATCCACTAAAGCATTTTCCAAGTTTTTTTACACACAACTTTGTGTAAAAATGCAAACATTTTTGTGTTTAATGGCATCTCTTTGAGTTATAATTTTGTCCATTTAATAAAGCATTAAATATTTTTACATACATACATATATAGAAACAAAAATATCACCGTCAGCAAAAAAAAATAAATAAAAAATTAGTGCGAATTTTAAGATATGTAATTCAAACTTGCACTTATCATATTACATTAAAGTTGAATGAGGTGTTTTGTCCTGGTTAAAAAGTTTTAAACTATAATTAAATTTTGTTGAAGTTTGCAGATTTTTTCTAATTTTCGTACAAAGTTTGAAAATTGGATTACTATATCGACTGCTGAGTGGAAGATCGATCTATCTCGGCATCCAGTTCGGAAATCGCCCTATCAAAAATTTTCGGAGCTTGCGCTTAAGCTTGCAGATGGCACCTATGTACACCAACAGTAGGGCGAAGAGGGCAACCGACTTTATGCTAGCACACTTTCCGGAGGCGGAGATGGACGTCCAGCGCACTAGGCCGCGACCATCTGATTGGAGACTGGCGAGAAGTATATTCACTCAGGCTTCAGTCAGATGGCCGCTAGGCTCGTTTGAGCGCTACAAGGCTCCAGGTGTAGATGATATCCGGCCGGTGATGTTACAGCAGGGCAGTGAGAGTGTAATACCGCATCTTTTGGACATATTGAGAAGCAGTCTTGCGGAAGCATATGTCCCACAGAATCATAATCCTAAGTGAGAGACAGGCAGCAATCCGCGCCTTCACATCCTATAAGGTCAAATCATCACTGGTCCTGGAGTGCATTGACCATCGGGTCAAGGTGCAGGAATGGTATTTTCAGGGATAGTAGTCCAGAGTTTCAGCTTTAATTTAAGCCTAAGTGGAAGGTTCTATCACCTTCTATCTGCTTCTCAAAAATTGCAAAAAACGCCATTATTTACACTTTGACCACGTTTTTCTTAAAATCTGGAGCTGATGGAAACTTTATACTTACGGATTCGTAATCAGCACAAGAAAGAATATATTTAAAAAACAGCTTAAACAATTGCCGCATCAAAATCAGTGTTGCCCTGTGTAATACTTCATTAATGGGTTTGAAAATGAAAACATTAAACCTACATATTATTTTATTACTATACTTATTTTGGTTTATTTTAGCTTAATCGGATTTTTTCCTTAGGCAGGGTTCTTACTTGCTTTCCCGAACTTTTCTGCCAATTCCTTCCAGACTTGTTGTTTCAACGCCTTTTGATTATTGAACTTATTTTTCTTATCCCATAGTAAGTGATTTTCATGAACTGCTTTTATTAGTGCCGCCCGATATTTGTCATATATATCATCGAAACTCATTTTCTGTATTTTGTTGAAATATGTGAATAACTAAACGTATGAAACAAAATATCCCTACACTACACAGAAATATGCAAACACAAACAGTTAGGAATGGAAAAATATCGACGATACTATCGATATATCGATGGTTTGTGTTTTCAGAAAATACTACCGATACTATCGGCTGTATTGTAACTGCCCGTCTTCACAGGCAAAAGTTTTTGCCTACCAACCGTAATTTTTATTGCTTGATAAAAATTTAATCGGAGGCAATATTTGTGCGTGGGCATTTTTTTATCTTGATAAAAGCATTTGTAAGGTGGCTATTTTTGCGTGATTTCATCATTTAAAAAATTGAAAAATATGCTATTTCACACCCAAGCAAATAATAATAAATATTTTAATAGAAAACAGCTCAATTTTTGCTTTTATATTGAAATATCAATAATGTTGTCTCCACGAAGCTATCGCGCAAATGAAAATGTAGCTGTCAATAAAAAAGCTCTAGATAATTATCGCTTGCCAAGAGCAATATGCGGTATCCATGGGCAAAATTTTGCCTGATAACATTATCAAGATAAAAAACTTATGTCTGTAGAGCATAGCTGGGCACACCAACACAGTCTCATTTTGTCATGGTATTAGTGCGTCGCGCTCAGTTATGGTTGCCGCATTTTTTATAAATGTACTAAAAGTGGTATTTTTCGTGCATGGGTATTTTGGCCTATTTTGCTTATACCTATAGTGTAATAATGAACCTTGGAAGTTTTTAGTAACTAATACTATTAGTTTATACAACCTTTTGCATAAGAAAAATTTAGTACTTGTATAATTTAAAAAAAACTTAAATTAGGTAAACTCATTTGTATAATACCTGGGCTCCGTTTTATTAGAACAAATTCTTTTATATGCTGACCGGCCAGATGGTTACGGTGTTTAGGTCTTATTTTTTAACCGACTTCCAAAAAAGGAGGAGGTTATCAGTTCGTCGGAATCTTTTTTTTTTTTTTTTTTATGTATGTTACCGCATAAGTTTGGACCACGTCAACCGATTTCGATAATTCTTTTTGCATCGGAAAGGTAGTGTCTCAGAGGTGGTCCCATACTAATCTGGTTAAGATCCGATCAGTGGATCGTGAGATATATATATATATATTTTTTTTTTTATATGAGAGTTGAAGTCGGTTTTTTTCTTGCTAAAAATTACTTGTTTCATATAAGTAGGTATTTAGTCTTAAAAATAGAGTATAACTTATAAATATTATTCATTAAGTATTTTTGGGCATAAACCAGCATTTACATTTCTCTATCGATTTCTTTTGATAAAAAAAATATTATAAAATAAAGTTGCAATGTGTGCCCTAGTGCGTCGCGCTGAGAAGCACTTTTCTATAATTGCACTGAGTGGAGCGTTTTTTTCATTTGTTTATGGTTAATGGTCGTATTACCACACAACAAGCATTGGGCATTATTAGCTTTTTTTAAAACCGAAAACTGTAATTGGCACTCATACTCAGACATTTTGGGCATTGTTACATATATAGGTGGCAACCACGCGCTAAAATTACGAATAAAAATATTCAACGGCGAAGCACAGTGATACTCTCATGAAATCTGAAAGCAGACTGAATTGAAATTCGCTGCGTCGTTTCTGTATACGTATAAGCGCTGCGACGCAGACGCTACTCGCGAGTAGCGTTTTGCCCAGCTATGCTGTAGAGACAGCAAGTAAGACCAATTAGTAAGTTGTCTAGAGTATATATGTGAGCAACGATTTGGTAGCTCCAAAAAAGCCAGAAATTGAAAACTAATGACCTTATTCTTAAAAAATTAAGTAAAAAAAAGTAGTATTATAAAGCTCTTTAAACCTACTTTATTTTCTTATGAATAAGGCCATAAGTCTTTATTTAAACGCATTTTCCCTGCAAAAAAAATCTTTAATTTTTTAATAAATTTGAAACGATTTGTGTTTTT